GCTCCATCTTCAGAAAAGACGGTTAAGATGCAAAGCCGAACCTACTCTACATTCTTCATACTTGACTGTTTTGGTTTGTTTTTTTTCCTGGCTCTTGTTTTTGATGTGCCTGTCCCTTGAAGCTGCTATAGAACTTAATGTTAACACACACAAGTATGATTTGTGTGTGTATTGTTGTTGTTATGTGTGTGTGTGTGTGTGTATGTACAGTATGATGTATGGGCTGTTATGGTGAAAATAATAAGGCAGGTGAAGAAGGACAAAGATGGCTGCGCTCTACGCTGTGGAACATGACTATCAGGGGATTTTTACCAGGAGATGGTCGTACGTGTGTATTGACTGAGTAGAGTTAGAACAGCTGTGGTTTGTCCAAGTCTGTCCTGTTATTCAACAACAGCAGACAATGAGTGAGATATTTGGACCAGGTGACCTGTCTGTCCTATACGCGTTGAACTGCCTCGATACAGCCCGACACAGTCAGGTTCTACACTTTCAAATGAAGTGCCTCCACTGGGCTTTTATGGAGAAACACGAGTGTGTGTTTGTGTGAATGCTTGTTTGTGTGTGTGTGTCTGTGTGTTTGTCGCGCTTGGGTACTTGAGCACGGGTGTGCATGAAGTGGATCTCTGATGGGGGACCAAGCTACTTTAGTGTAACTACTGATACTGTGTCATGGACTGAAGTCCTGAAGTGTGCCACGATTCCTAGACACTGTCGGGAAGTGTGAACTGTTTGCTGCTGACTCACTGACCAAAGTGACCAAGCGTCCCTCTTCTCTAACGTACTAGTGAGAATCTGTTATGTTCTGACTAAAATAATAAACAGCAACCTGGTGACAGAAAGCAGAGCTTCTCCCCTTATTTACACAGTTATAATACTATTGGGAAGTGATGCTTTCTAGATGTGAAGAGAACAAAAAGAAATGTAAAGTGCGAGTGATTTCTGACTGCCCTGAAGCCCCCAAAGTTTTATTATTTTGCTTTTAAATATAGGTATTTGTTTTCTGTACGACTGCAACAAGTGTTAAGTTCTGCCTCCTTTGCTCACAAGCAAAAGATATTGTTTAAAAGATAGATTGAGGAATAAGGTTTTGGTGTTAACATTTACAGTAAATAGTTTAGTGGAGATCTTGTAAGATGATGTAATTCCCCAAAAATCTCTACATGAATGCAGGCAATAAGTTGTCTTCTCGCTTAAAGCAATTTATATACAGTACCTGTGTGATTGCTGTCGATTCCTCATAGATTTTCCTGCTACAATTTGAAATCAGCTTGCTTGAAGGTTGAACTGTTTGGAGGATTTCCAGAAACATGGTAGAGCAACTCTTGAAATGAAAAGTAATTTATTATAACTTATGTTAGCTGCAGGAATAGTTTGCTATATATACAATGTAAGAAGCACTGCAAAATGAGTTGTCTCGGTCAGGTGGTTAGAGTGTTGGGGTGATGGTGGGGGGGCAGGCAGTAATGACTCTGTAAATTTGTTTAGACTCACCAGTGGTGAAGGGGGCTCACTGTTTCTGCTTTGTGAAAATGTGATATTCCAATTTTACCTAACCTTCAGGAATATAATGTCTTGCACAAACATTCCCCCCCCAACCAAAATAAAGTTTGCAAACACAAACTGTTTGAGTAAGTTGTTTTAATTTTTGTGTGATGCACCTCTGATGCTGGACTTATCCTAGAGAAAAAGCAGGGTTTCATCAGGAAAGTCAGTAAAATGTGACAAATGAATCATCCAGATTTTACTGTATGCCAGCAGGAAATGGTGTTTAGTTTTTCCCTGGAATGCAGCTAATCCAGCGTTACCTTAAATGGGAACAGCAGGAAATGGTGTTTCTTTTTTCCCTGGAATGCAGCTAATCCAGCATGTCTATTGTTTCTCAATGGAGAAAAGTGATGTTTGACAAGAAACTTGTATGTCGCCTGGCCAGAGGGTGGAGCCTGACTTTAGTCACCGCCCCATTTTCATTCTTACCTTTTACAAGTGAACACCGCAGTTAGTCTGGTATAACACATCGTAGGAGCTACTCGTGGTGTCTCAAACATACAAAGACACCATTTGAATATAACCAACAAATAAGATGGAAAAAGATCAATCCGAGGATGAAGAGGAGCCCACTGATGACCAGCAGGAGGATGAGGTGGACAATGAGAATTGGCTCTTGACAGATGAAACCACAGAGATTATCCCAATGGATACCATAGGGATTCAAATTGAGCCTGTCACAGTTCAGATGAGGTAATGTTCCAAAACCCTGTGGTTTTCCTTTTCCTGTTTGTGCATTGGAAATGGATACATTAAATAATTTGTTTGATATTTCTTATCCCAAAGTATCCCTGATGGCCTTTGTGGTACGGCGTTCTCCAGGAGAAAAGTCTTTGAGGCTGCGTCTCAGGGAAACACAGCTCAGCTTGATGGTCTGCTTAACTACCTGCGTGTAAACAATAAACAACTTACAAACCTGGAATTCACAGGCAAGTAGGAAAAACAGCTGTATTTTTACATTTAAACAAACAATCTTCCTCTGATACATGTGACTTTACAGTTCTAGATTAGTGCTGCAGCGCGTTCTCTAAAATATGTGTGTAGGGTTTTATATTCTGGTAAAGCCGGTTTGAAGGTGTCCAGAGTTCACAGGTAACACTTCGGAGTTTGATTTGGACGTATGAATCATTTATAGTCAAAGGAACTTGTATGGGAAGCCAGAAAAGGCAGGAACAACAGGAGCGGGCTACAAAAGAAAATTAACCTACAGGTCAAAATCAGAACAGGTAATTCAAGAAAACTACTTTGAGTGAAATACCAGGGTGAGGCAGGTGATCAGTTTTCTGCAAAAACATACAGGAGAAAATAAAACAACAAGGAGTTACTGTAGGGACACCCAGCTAAACAAAACATGAAGGTGCGATATTCAGCAATAGTCTTAAGTCTAAACCAAATCTTTTTAAGGTCTACAGAGGTCTCTGTGATGATTGTTTGATTGATAAAATTCTATTTTGTAATGCCATGGCATAAATATGTGATTAATGTATGTGTACAACTTTCAGATGAAGTCACTGGGAAAACTGCACTGCTGAAGGCTCTGATGCATCTGAAGGATGGGCGAAATGACACCATCGGATTTTTCCTGGATATTGCAGAGAAAACTGGGGATTTGGAAAATTTAATCAACGCTTCTTACAAAGACATTTTCTACAACGGTAAGGAAATGACAGATGTTTGTAATGATATTTTTTTTATTAAAAATGTATTGTTAGTAATTATCCTGTCAAAAATCAGCATTGGAATCGTCTAAGGTCAGTCCACATTTAATTCAGTACCTTGCCCCAGACCTACTTTTAGGAAGAAGCTGGTTCATAAATAGCCTTGCACCGAGTTTTTAATGGAGGTTGGGAAATACTGCTTTTATTTTTAAGTATGTTGAACTGCCTTTTCTAAAGAATAAAATTTAATAAATTAATAAATAAAAAAAAGCACAAACACTTTCTGCATACCATATGGTTCATAAATAGCCTTGCACCTTGGAGATTTTCAAATACGGTTGGGAAATACAAAAAAAAGCACAAACACTTTCTGCATAAATAACAGGAGAGTCACTTAACAAACAAAGGTCTTTAAAGTTTGGGTAAATGTGCCAACAAGAAATCAAGAGTTTTTATCAAACTTATTGAACAGCGATTCAATAATGTCGTCTTTTGAAAAGTACTGTGATATTTTTCTGTAAAAATAATTTCTCCAAGGTCAGACAGCGCTGCATGTTGCTATTGAACGACGGAGCTTTGACCACGTGAAGCTGTTGGTAGAGAAAGGAGCAGATGTGCAAGCCAAAGCCAATGGGAGGTTTTTTCAAATAAATGCAGACCTGGGCTTTTACTTTGGTGAGCAACCAAACATAAATATATATATATATATTTAATATATAATCAATTGTGATAGATAGTCTTCAATTCAAATTGTAATTTTGTGTTTTCTTTAGGAGAACTTCCTCTGTCTTTGGCCGCCTGCACCAACCAACCCACCATTGTGACCTTCCTCATGGAGAACCCTTACAGAAGAGCAGATGTGACCGACCAGGACTCACGAGGAAACACTGTCCTGCACACCCTGGTGGTCATAGCTGACAACACAGCAGAAAACACTGAAATGTTAGCAAATATGTACGATCAGATACTCATCCAGTACAGCAGGTTGGAGAATCCAAAAAAACTCAAACTGGAAGATATAGAAAACAACCAGGGGTTGACTCCACTGAAGTTAGCAGCCAAGCTGGGGAAGATTGGGGTAGGTCTGTTTTTAACTTTAAAACATTTTATTTATTTTTTACTTATCACATTTCTTTACTCTTTTATTGCACTGAGAAACTTGCTTTTTCTGTTGTCTGTCTCTTTGAACTTGGATTCGTTTTTTGTTTTTTTTTACTTAACAGATATTCAGGCACATATTAAACCGGGAATTTGTGGACAAAGAAATTAGACCACTGTCTAGAAAAATTACTCAATGGGTCTATGGACCTGTTCACTCCTCACTGTATGACACCAGCTCCATTGACACCGACGAAGACAACTCTGTGTTGGACATTATTGTCTTTGGGAGTGAAATTCCAGTGAGAAATATTTTTTGTTTGTTTATTGAAAAGTACAGTTTACAAGTACAATTGTTTGGTTGAACATTTCTGCTCCCACCATAAATATCTGGAAATTCTGAAATTTGATTATTCAGAATTAAAAAAAAAAGAATATCTAACTGATTTTTTTCTCTTTCACAAACATTACTTTAGAATCGACCAGAGATGCTTCTGATTGAGCCTCTTTGCAGTCTTCTCAACTATAAATGGGAGAGATTTGCATCCAAGTTATTCTTGATGAATTTCGTGGCGTATCTATTGTACCTGATCATCTTCACCTTGGTGGCCTGCTACAGAAAGGAAGGGCAGGTAAGAATGAAGGAAACCACCTTCAAATAGCCATGTTTGGTAAAGAGAAAATGTCAATCGTTTAAAGGAACCTCACAAAGATGGATGTATTGACAGAAGCCTGGCTCCTGCTTGTTGCACATTGCTTAAAGTATAAAGAATATTATGATGGGTTTATGCTGCAGTCATTTCTTTCAAACTGTGATCAGAACACACACTTTCTCACCTGCAGCCACCGTTTCCCATTGAAAACGTCACAGCTGATTCTTTCCACCTCGTGGGGGAGCTGATCAGTGTCCTGGGAGCAGTGTGGTTTCTATACAAAGTGGTGAGGGAGGCAGATTTGTGTTGATATTTTAGGCAACAACAGGTTAAAGATTTTGGATGTCATTCTGTACATTTGACCTTTGATTTCACAGATAAACATTTTCAGAAGAAACACACCGACTTGCAAGTCTTTGTACACTGATGGAATCTATGACATTCTGTTGTAAGTTGTTCAACAATATATGAAGATTTTTGTAATGTCAGTGTTTTCTGACCAGTGTGCGTTTCCAGTTTTCTGCAGGCGGTACTTCTGCTGATCAGTGCAGTCTTGTACGTCAGTGGACGCAGGGAATACGTTGGACTGCTTGTCTTGTCGCTGGCTTTGGCCTGGATTAATGTCCTGTACTACTCCAGAGGCTCCAAACAGATGGGGATATACAGCGTGATGATGCAAAGGGTGTGTCTATTTTTTTTATCTAACTGACATGTGTAGAAAAAAACATTATCTTGTTAAAATCTGCCTTTTCTTAAAACTTTTTTTATTTTTCTTTAAGATGATCGTTGGTGACCTATTGACCTTTCTGTGTGTATATTTTGTCTTGCTGGTTGGATTTTCTGCAGGTAAATCTTTTATAATATAAAATGTCCATTTTGTGAATTGTAATGGAAATATTTAACAATATTTTCTATAACACAGCTATGGTTGCTCTGATGTACGACGACGCACCAGCTCATCTGCAGCCTAAGAATGAGTCATTGTCAAGTGGGCGGAGTCTAGATGTCGGGACAGTTCCGTGCAGTAAGCCAACTTACAGCGACCTCCGTTTTACAATACTGGAACTGTTCAAATTCACGATTGGAATGGGAAATCTGGAGTTCACTGATGACGTTCAGTACAGGGAGGTTTTCTACATCCTGCTCATCTCCTACATTGTCCTGACTTACATCCTGCTGCTCAACATGCTCATCGCTCTGATGGGAAACACCGTTGAAAGAATCTCCAAGGAGAATGTCGACATCTGGAACCTGCAGGTGGGATGTTGTTGTTGTTGTTGTTGTTGACATCTGGAACCTGCAGGTAGGATGTTGTTGTTGATGTTGTTGTTGTTGTTGTTGTTGTGAGAATGACTGTAACTTACTGTTACAAAAAGTTTGGGTATTGTTTATAAAATCCATAAATGCTGCCTTGTGTTATCAACATTTACAGCTTCAATTTTTTTAAAATAATTCATAATATAAAATTGCATCCAGTGGTAAATAGAAACCATTTTATACCAAATTAATTTTCTTCTTTTAGCTCCTAAGCACCTATAGAAATGTAACAAATGAATCTGAAAATTATTTTACTTATTCTTCACATTAATATTCTTACCTTTTTTGTGTTAACAATGATTCTGTTTTCTGTGGATCATTTGTAACATTTTCTGTCATAAATACCCAGAAAGCCTCAACCATTCTGGACATAGAGAGGGATCTGCCGCAGAGACTGAGGAGAAAACCGTTTTTCAAAGAGTCCAGAATGGTGTATTTCAAACTTCATGAAAATGATGAGCGTAGGAGATTTCTCAGGTAAACTGTAACAAACATTGGTGTGAAAAGAACCATGGTGTTCCTAACTGGAGTATTAACATCGCCTGTTTTCACCTCGTCCTCTTCCTCGTCTTCAGAGTGGAAGAGATGAACTGGAGACAGTGGAGGTCAGACCTGGGTGTGGAACCAGAAGATGATCCGGAGAATGAACTAATGGATATTCTAGGTCTGGCTACACACACACACACACACACACACACACACACACACACATACAGTAAAAACAATAAAACCTCTCTGCTCACTAATATAAGTTTTTTATGATTGGTCAGGAAAACAATGGAAACATCGTTCACCCTTGGAGAAGATCCGTCTCAAACACTGGAAACGTCCCCATAAAACCGTGATCTGATTTATTACAGTAATAACCAGTATAACGTAGATGTTATTGTGATTAAAAATCTCATCACGTCTGATGATCCTGATCGCTGACTTCTAACAAGCTAAGACAGACTGAGGTGACTAATATATTGCTCAAATGAGACGTTTCTGTTCAGTTATGTTGAGTCATTGACGTGTCCTACTTTGTATGTGTAACAATATTCTTATTTTGCTTGATGTTAATATTTTGAATATATCTTTCTATTTGTTTTGTGGTGGTCGTGGCAGTCTGTTTAAATTCATCACTTCTGTTTAAAGCATTGTCAGCACCAGGCTGTTCAATAAATGTGATCTCTGTTTGGCCACAACTGAGGAAACACTAAAAAAAGAGCTAGTGTGTGTGTGTGTGTGTATTTGACACACAAAATCAATTGGATGAAGATACATAATAAAATAGATCACTGAGCATTGTTTACAGGAGATTATGTTGTAAATCCACATAAATCCACATCAGACAGTGTCGCTCTCACCTGTCCCAGCATGCTCTTTGTTCCTCCCTCTACAAGAGTGATGTTTGATAAACAACATTCATGTCCTCTGGGCACAGGGCGGAGTGTGGCTATGGCAACTCCCTCACTGCCTCAAGTTACAGTCCTCCCTTCCTGCAAGTCCACACCTGAGCAGCTGTAGCGCCACACACCTCACGAGCCACTCATGGTCTCAACGCTCTAGTGTTACTTCATCAAGACGTGGTTGTTAACACCTAATACGATGGAAAAGGGTCACCTACAGGACAGTGAGGAGCCCAGTGACAACCATGAGGAGGAAGAGGAGGCAAACAGTCTGGACTGGCTCTTAAGAAAACACACGGAGATAACCCCCATGGACACCAACATTTTAATGACTAGGTAACAGTCCAGCTCCACAGGAGCGTTTGGCTTTTGTTCTCCTTTTTCACAGTTTGTGCATGTGGACATACATTAGTAAATTATGAACAGTGAACTATACCGAGGTGTAGCTCTGAAATCAGTGTGGTTGTTGTTCTACCCATAGATTGGGTTACATGTTGATCTTTACAGACTAAATATCAGGTTCCAGAGTGGCAAATTTCAGGTCAACAAAGATGCAGCAACAAGTCTTGTCCTGTCTTTTATCAATATTTGCATATATCGATACAAAAGCCAGAACCCATTGAATTTATAATTCAATATCAGTGTTTTCTAAACAACATAATGCTTTTAATTTAACATGTCTTTTTATGTCAAAGTGTCCCTGACAGCATTCATGGTGCGAAATACACCAGAGCGAGGGTCTTTGAAGCTGCATCTCACGGGGACACAACTCGACTTGATGGTCTGCTTGACTACCTGCAGGTTAATAATAAACGACTTACGAGCCCAGAATTCACAGGCGAGTAAAAAAAGAACTCTTTTATTAGTCTCATTTCTGTGGGACAATGTCCAAATATCACATGTGACGATGGTTTTTGTGTGTAATTAAAACACATTCTGGTGAACTGGTGTATTTAGTTCAAATGACAAAAAAAAGGCAGGCGTGCTAAACACTACACTATGGAACCGACATGTAGTGGGAGAGGAGGCCAAAACAGGAAATTCAAGCAAAACGAAACATGTGGACAATGTTAAACAGAGTGAGGCAGGAGATATAGATTTTAAAAATAGTGAACCAAACATTTAAAATGATCAGGAACAAAAGATACTCCAAAAGAGGAAGCTTTAAAACGAGTCTCAGGTGTCAGAGCAGTTATTTTCAGTTATTATAATGAAGGTCTATTCAAACACAGGCACATGTGTCAGTCACTGCACTTTGATGGATTCAGTGTGGTTCCGAACTTTTAAAATTATAATATTTATTTACATTTGACAATCGGGGAAATTACCAACTAGATACATGATCCTTTTACATTCTACATACAGAGATCAGTGTTCTGTATCCCAAAGTCACATCATTTATCACTGTGTTATCTAAACTAAAATGTGCACGAAAGGCAAAAACATGTTTTGCCTTCATCTCAATCTGCTGCGTTTTTTGAACTGTACTTGACTTCATTGAACTAAAC